TAATAAAGGTAATAAACCGAAACCTGCATCACCTCCATCAGAAGCCTGAGGAGCTCTGGCCCTGCGCTTGTGAGGGCCTGGGAAGGAGCAGGGGCGGTGTTCTCCCAACACACCTGTCGTCTCCTGTGATGGTAGTGGAGAGGCGGAACCTGGGTCCTACGGGGAGGCTGAGCTTGGGGACGCTCTGTGCTTGGAGATGATTGGGTAGTGCTTCCAATTCTTGGAAAAAGAAATCGCACGTTACCCTTTTGTTTTTTTAATTAAATATTTTGGTCTCATTTTTTTCCAGGAACTCTCTGCTCTTTCTGTTTCTGGTGTTTTTGAGTTTAACCAGGATTGATCTAGATTTAAATTTCTTTCTTGTTAAGCTGATACTTTCTGATTCATTGGTAGGATCTTACTCCTTGCTTCTGTTTTCCTTTCTTCTCTTACTTTAAACATCTTGAACGTAGCCGCTGTATTCCGTGTGTGGTGTCAGGGTTGGAGGCCTGGCTTTGTCATTGATCGTTTTCTCTGATTCCTACCCGTGGTGGCTTATTTCCTGCTGCCTTTTGGAGACCTTGGACCCTGAATTCACGCTTGTGGGTGTTTCTCCCTGGCGCTCCCCAGGACGGGATGGTTCAGGAAGTTTTGAGTTCAGGTGAACCCAGGCTGTCTAGAGATCAGTTACCTTTGGTTTGTAGCTGGATGTACTCCCAACCCAGGTACTTCATTCGCTGTGTTTGTTTGCTGTGTTGTTTGCTGACGCTGACGGCCCTGCTCCTGGATGGACTGTGCTGCTGGCTCCAGGCCCAGGGATTCAGGAAGAGCCGGGCTTGAAGCTTCCTTTGCTGCTTGTGGGATTCCAGGCCCGGACAGTGAGTGAGGATCAGGAGCCCACGCTGTGTGAGGACCGGCTGAGGCAGTGAATTCTTCAGGTCCCGGTTGAGACCTCCTTGCACGTTCTCCCCCCACCCCCGCCTTCCCCTGGAGTCTTCCCCGCCCCCAGTCACTTCAGAGGCACAGCTGTGGGAGGTGCATGGCCATAACCACCTGCCTGGCCGCTCTGAAGGTGGCCCGGGGGTGGAGCCTGCCACTCAAGCTGGTTTCCCGCTCCCTCTCCATTTCAGCCCCAGGTGAGTTCTCACATTGCTCAGCAGTGCAGCTGAAAGTGCTTCTGGAGGTTTTGTGTTGAGGTTTTTCAGGGTGCTGGGCGTTTTGCTGGAAGCGCAAGGCTTCTCTGTTTTTGTTTATGATCTGAAAGCTGATTTCATGCTGGTTCTTCCGTGTCCCTTCCATAGAAGGTCCTAGCGGAAGCTGGGTCTCCCTTTTCGCAGTGGACAGAGAATCATTCAGCCCAGTTGAGGGTGTGGGAGGGAAGCCCTGCGCTGTGATGCTCCGGAGACCTACGGCATCTCGAGAGTGCTGGGCGGTGGGGCCTGCTCACCCCAGCCCCTGCTGCCGCACCAGGCATGCCTCTGGTGTCCTGTCGCATGTTTTCTGTTTCAGGTGCTGCTCTAGGCCCTGGGGATGTGGAGGAGTAAGGGGTAGCGGGCATGGGCAGTGATAAGCAAGTGCATAGCAGGGCCTCTGAGTGCTGTGGGGGCTCGGGTGGGAGCCGCCGTGTAGGAGAGGTCTTGGGTGCCTGCCCGCATGGGCACTGGTGTCCCCACCACACTTGGGGGCGGGGGGAGTGACCCTGGGAGGTAGAGTCAGGGTCGGCTCATCCCAGGAATGGAAGCGTCCGTGCGGGGGGGAGATCCGTGCTGGGGGGAGAGGGGCGGGCAGAGTGCGGGAGAGGAAGGCACTGTCAGAGAGACTGAGGCCCAGGGAGGTTATCTGGGCCCCCGAAGCCCCGGCAGGGCAGGTGGGGCCCTTTACGGGGGGCTGCAGGGCGACCCCCCCGAGACTGGGCTGGTGGCTTCTGTGTCAGTCCTGGTGTGGGCTCGGCCACTTCACCTGCCGTGACATGGGGGCCTTGACTAGTGAAGGGTGACCTTTTTAGGAGAGAAAGGGTCTTGGATTTTCACGTGCTAAGAAGGACTGGTTTGGTTTGGTTTCACTGACCTGTGACCTGGGCGCTTGTTTGCAGACCTGTGGTGGCCCTGGCTGGGCTCCTGCTGGCCTGGAGCCTCCATGCAGTCTCCAGGGACGTGAGAGCCATTTATCACCACGTTTCCATTCACACAGCACTGCCCCAGCTCTGTAGTTGGAAGTGACCCTGTGAACAAATTCATATAAACACTGAATGTGTGCATGAGTGCCTGCTAATTTTTTTAAGCCATTTTCAAGCACTGCATCAGGTCTCTTTTTGTTTCTGCACAGCCCTTCCTTGGGGTAGACAAACCATGAATCGGTTCCCACTTTACCGATTCTGTCTCTTTCCAATTTAAGGAGGCCAGATGCTATTAAGATACTGTGTTCCCTCCATGAATCAGATCGTGTCCAAGACAGTTGCTAGGACAACAGGATCTTCGGTTTTCTCTCCTGCTATTTTTATTTCCTTACTATCTCAGGTTACTATTTTCATTTTCAGTGTCAAGTTCTCCTTTACCATTTTTTAAAATAGAGTTGTTTAATAAGTTTAATATGTTAATATTGTATGTTCTTGCCTCTACAAAGTTCACTTTACTAAAGACAAACTTGTAATAAACAGAAAAGCCTTAGGATTAGTTTATCTAAATCTGCTGAAGAAGACAGGGACAGACTTGGCTGTTTTGTATTTCCTCTCGACATTCAGACCTTAGTTAGGACTAATTAGGCATCTGTTTTTTTATGTTAAAATGCACGTCCTCAGTTTAGAGGCTGTTTAATGTGAGTAGATGTCTAGGGCTTTCAATCTGTCCTTCGTTAGGTGTGGCTGGAAGAGGCGCTAAGGCCTGCCCCTCTCCCCCCACCTCACCTCACGCTCCGTGGAAAGCTCTTGTTAAAGTTCAGCGTTAGTTTGCATGTCCCGTTATTTGTATTGCTACATACGGGAAATATCGCGTGTCCCTCAGCGAGGAAAGTTAGCGTCAGAGGTGGACGTTCGCCGGGTGCACTGGTCTGTGCAGAGGCGCAGGTTTCCACAGGACCTGCAGCTGTGAAGAGATGGGAGACCTTTCACCCACAGCCCAGCCAGCTGGGGTGCCCGCGCTGCCCTCGTATTCAGTCCTTACTTTGTTTTAGGAGTTTTAGAAAGCGTCCTATTTTCAGCTGTTTGAACAAGGGTTGAGTTAGGAGCTTTCCTTTTCAGCTAATGTGAGTTAAATGGAATTAAGATGTTTACCTGTATGATATTGCGACCCTGTGGCATGAAGATGAGCCCCGAGTGTGGGTATATTTGTAGTGGGCGCTCCGCCTGACCAGAACCGTGTCCCCTTCTCCCCGTCTGGTTGGGCAGGGAGCACTCAGACCCCTCCACCGTTCCAGCACTTTCCACCTGCTGCTGTTCCACTTCCTGACTGGCTTATGTGTTCTGTGTATTTTACAAGCTTAGAGAAGATAGGACTTGCGTTCATGTCTCTCAAAGCAGCTAGGACACAGTGCGTCAGAGGTGGAAGGATTTGTTTCCTCCAGGAGAATGAGCAAAATATGTGTGTTTCTTTTCTCAACTGGCTGGTGTCTGAGCAGCTGGCTAATTCAGCCTGTGCCGGCATCTCTAAGCACCCGGTGTAGCCTCTGTGACCTCGGACCTCTTGAGCCACGTCCGGGCACTCTTGCCGTCCAGCCTGGAGCGGGTAGAGCTGGGTGCCTTTCCTAACATCAGGGCTCACCAGGGCCTCAGATGCCATGCAGTCAGACTCAGTAGCATCACTTTGTTTCCGCTGCCTCTGGAGTCCCCACTCAGAACTCACACCCATTGTCCCTGCCAGCTCCCCTCCAACGCAAGACGGGCCTGCGCGGACCAGAGCCCTGAGCTCCAGCGAGGCCCAGGAGCTGCACTCCTGCTGGCTCGTCAGGCACCTCCTGGGGGACGCGCTGGGCGGCCCTGTGACCTCTGCCTTCACGGCTCCACGGAGGGGGTGTACAAGTGAGGAATGGACTGGCGGTGGGGGCGCAGGTTGGTGGAAAGGGGAATGGAGTGAGAAAAAGGCAGAAGCTAGTTCTGCGTCTCACTGTGAAACACTGCAGACGGAAACCTCCTGGGGTTCTCTGTTGGCCTCTCTGCACTGAGACGGCCGCTGGGATCTGGGGACCCCGCTCTGTGCCCACGACCGGTCAGGTGCTGCCCCGAGAGGGGCAGAGAGCAGACTGTGGCACGGTTACTAGAGGCTGGCGGATTCTGCGGCTCCAGATTCTGCTCGTGTTTATTCTCTGCTCTGTGGTTTAAAATCTGATTCACGAAGACAGCAGAGCCTTCCCGGACCTTGCTGCAGTGCTGGCGGCTGGCGTGGTGGGCCTGCTGCTGTTAGGGAGGCTGGGGAGCCTCCCAGATCATCCCTGAGGTCTGAACTCTGTTCTCGAGATGCGAGGCTGCAGTTCATCATTCCGATAAAACATTGCTTTCTGCTGTGATAGAGATGAAGGCATGGTAAACTCTTAGATTGTTCTCCTCTTGCTGCAGCCAGTGTGTGGCAGTTGGCTGGGGACGCCTCGTGGACGAGGGTGGCTGAGGGGAGACGCGCCCTCAGCTCCTGCTTCGTGGCCGCTCCTGGTTCCCACCCTGTGTCACTCGGGGTCCCCCTGAGGCTGCCCTGTGTTCCCCGGGCCCCACCCCAACCGGCCACGGGGTCCCTGCGGGAGGTGCGGGCAGGAGACGGGAGGGTCGGGGGAAGGGGGCTGACACGTCCCCTGCCGCTACCCTTCCCGCACGGCTGCGGCTCCCCTGGGCCAGAACAGCTTCTGCCCGCGGCTCCACGGCCCTCCCCCCCCCGGGATGGAAGCTCCCAGGGTGGGGTCCTGTTGTGCTTTATTCCCGAGGAGCCCCCAGGGGCCGGCCCCCCTGCCCTGGGGGACGAGGGATAGAGCGGGGAGGCTGTCAGTGAGCAGGGGACGCATGTCTGCTGGTAACTGCTGGTAACCCTGCTCTCCTCCCGCAGCTGCCGGGCCGCAAGTACCGCGCTGGGTACAATGAGGACGTCGGGGACAAGTGGGTCTGGCTGAAGTGACGCCTCCTGGACGCCGCCTCGCAGAGATGAGACATGCCCAGGCCCCAGCTCCTGGGCTCCGCTAGCCTCGCGCTGTGGGGCAGGGGCGCGGGCATCGCACAGCGGATGCGCGGTAGCCACGGGAGCGGGCGGGGGCGGGGGCCCAGCTTTGCTCTGCGGCGCCAGGCCCCAGGCAAGCAGCGTCCGCTGTGAGAGAGCAGGTGCCGCCCGGAGCACCTCCTTCCCCACAGCCCGCCTCTGTGTTGGCCGAGGCTGCCTCTGTTTTCAGACTTGGAGAAATAAAACCGTTTCCGTGGCGCCTCTCTCCGTGACGCATCTGCGCTCACACATACATGACACATACATGTGTGTGCCCACACACCATTAGCTCACAGTTTGCTCGGATGTGCTTTGGTTTGATTAAGACATACATGAGGACTGAAGAGTGGTTCTGAAGCGTCTCTTCTGTGTGTTTCAGAACGTTACTACCGCATTAGAGGAAGAGGAAAAAGGCAAGGAGGAAGTAGCCAAAGGAGGGAGAAATTACCCCCGATTTAGAGAGCCGGGCATTTGTGGTAGAAGACCTCTGAAATTCTGCGAGGACCGTGGTCAGCTGACCTCGTGACTCCTTCCTTCGAGGGGAGGTTCTAGCAGAGGATGGCAGTGGGGTAAAACACAGAAGCAAATCAGTGTACCTACCCCTTCGTTGCCTGAAAGTCCAGTTGTCAGAATGAGTCACGTGAGAGGAAGTCACACTTCTTTATTTACCTCCATTGAAACTTGGAAAACAGAAGCGAGGTTTCCTGCGGGCTAACTGTCGCGGTGTGCTCCTCAGGAGTTGAGCTCTTAAGCTGCGGACCCGCTAAATCAGGCTTTCTGCCCTAGGGCTCCGCGTGTTCAGCACGCAGCTCCAAGCCACAGGGGACTGCTGAAACGTAGGTGAGGTCTCGTCAGGGTAGGGCTCAGTTCAGGTGCTCCCTCTGCGTGGCCCGTGGCTCCAGTCCTGGACGTCCTCAGGGCGGGAGGTGCCTGGGGGTCACTACAGGAGCCCCGCCACCCACCGGCCCCCTTCTTCCTTCCTCTCTCCCCTCCCTCCTGCCTGCCCTTGCTGGCCTCGCTCTGGTAAGATTTTAAGGATTAAAAAGTTCCCCAGCAGTTTCTGGGTTGGCATCCAGAGTTTAGTGACCAGTGTTTTGTATTTCACGTAAAAGCTGCTTTTGTCATTAACAGTGAGTGCGCCAGGCAGGGGGCCAGTCCCGGAGGCCTGGTCTGGGCCCCTCACAGACCCGTTAGAGGAGAGGGAGGAAGGAACACGCGTCTGATTGTCTCGGCTCTGCCAGCGTCTTAGCCTAAGGAGCCAGCGCTCACTGTCACCGGCCTGAGGTCAGCGGGCAGGACGGTCAGTGCTGACCCGTGACACTGCTCCGTAAGGAGCCAGCGCTCACCGTGCTAACTGTCACGGGCCTGAGGTCAGCGCGCAGGCCAGTCAGTGCTGACCCGTGACGCTGCTCCGTAAGGAGCCAGTGCTCACCACGCTAACTGTCACGGGCCTGAGGTCAGCACGTGGGTTGGTGACAGGCCTCGGGCAGGACGGTCAGTGCTGACCCGTGACGCTGCTCTGTAAGGAGCCAGCGCTCACCGTGCTCACTGTCACGGCTGTGGGCCTGAGGTCAGCGGGCATGCCAGTCAGTGCTGACCTGTGACGCTGCTCCTGCCCGGCTGCAGGTGTGGTCTGTGGGCTGAGGAAGGGATCGCATTGTGCTCGGAGTTTCTTTTCCTGGGAGGTTGGGCAGAAGAGCGCATGTCCGAGCCTCTGCACACATACAGAAGGTCCGAGGAGCCGAGGAGGGAGGCCACAGCGTGCTTCCAGCCTCTCCTGCTCCAGGCTCGGGAAGGAAGTGTGCGTGTGTCTCCAGGAGGGAGACTGAGAAGATGCTCATTTTCCCCTAAAGCACCTTTTCTGTCAGGTTTTGTCACCAGGCGGGTGAGGACACCAGCTGCTTAGAGGGTGGCAGACAGGTCCTTACGTCCACCTGCCAGCTGGCGGGTCACTGGGCCTCACTGTCCCTGCGGCTGCCTGCGGCCCTCGGCCCAGCGCTCACCAGGCGTGTGGCCCATCGCGGGGCAGGTGACCCAAGGATGCTGCTCACCTGTCCTCATCTTGTCTCGGGCCGGGATCTGTGATGCGACAGGAAGGAGACGCGCCCTTGCCCTGCCCACCGAAGCCCGTTTTGTCAGAAGTCCGCCAGCCAACAGGTTGGCCCGGGGTCCCTGTGTCCTGTCTCCTTAACAGTGACCCGTCTCCGGGCTGGTCGTTCTTGGCGGCGTTCGTGTCAACACCAAGGAGCAAGCAGGGAGCACGTTTTGGTCGGCGGCGGGTCCTTCAGTATGTGTGTGTGTGTGTGTCTGTGTCTGTAGCCTCCTGGGTCCCAGCCGCTGTCTGCAGCCCTGGACGGGGGGCAGAGAGGACACGGGCCGCAGCTGCAGCTCCAGATGCGGGGTCCCTCGTGGGGAGGAGAGGGGCGAGTGGAGGTCCAGGCGGGCCCCGGGGCATCCCAGCACAGACGCAGCAATGTGCTCCTCCGGAGGAGGGCAGTGGGCCTGGAGCTGGCCAGGCGGTCTCAGGGCAGCCCCCGAGCCCACCTTGCGGCCGGACCTGCTCCGGGAGGGCTGGCGCCCGGCACTGGGCTCCGCGTCGCAGCCCCGCTGCCGTGAGCCCCCTGCCATCGGATGCCTGCACGTCTCCGCTGACTCACACCTTGCGCAGCCGATGCCCTCCATCCACCCTGCTCTGGCCCCGCCACGCTCGCGGAGGGTCTTGCTCCCCCAGCCCCGCAAACGCTGCAGTCGCCGAGCAGCCCTGCCCCCAGTCTTCCGCGTACACACGTCTGTAGTATTTGTGTACTTAACGTGAAGCCTGCTTTCCTAAGAGATGAATCTAATAAACTCATTGCTGTTGAAACAAAAAGCAAGAAGCCTTTGCAGCGCACCAGCCGAAGCCGAAATGAAAATGGATCCCTTCTGTAAAGAGGGAAACTCCTGCTGAGAGAATGTAACGTAGATGAAGAAGGAATTCCAGTGGCTAGACGTCCCCACTGCACAAAGCCGGCAAGCGAGCCACTTACCTGCGGCCGCGTGGCCGTCTGTGGTGGGGCGAGGTGGTGGCGATGGCGGGGTGACGCCCGGGACTTAGGACCCTGATTTCCTGTCAGCAAGTCACTGCCTGCCAGCCATGCTGTGCGCTTGGGCATCTCTGGACTTGTTCAGTCGCTCAGTCATGTCCTTCTCTTTGCGACCCCATGGACCACAGCACGCCAGGCCTCCCTGTCCATCACCATTTGGAGCTTACTCACTCACGTCCATTGAGTCGGTGATGCCATCCAACCATCTCATCCTCTGTTGTCCCCTTCTCCTCCCGCCTTCAATCTTGCCCAGCATCAGGGTCTTTCCCACTGAGTCAGTTCTTGGCATCAGGTGGCCAAAGTATTGGAATTTCAGCTTCAGCATCCGCTCTTCCAATGAATATTCAGGACTGATTTCCTTCAGGATGGACTGGTTGGATTTCCTTGCAGTCCAAGGGATGTTGAAGAGTCTTCTCCAACACCACAGTTCAAAAGCATCATCTCTGATCTGGCTCTGGCTTTTTCCGATGGTTAACCAATTTACATTTGAGAGTGCAAAAAGAAGAAGTCTAATCATAAATTTTTTACCTGGTCAGAAGTGACTGGAAAGACTTTAGGCTTTTTTTCTTGTCTCTAAAATAAAACAGCCCCGGTCTCTCCGGCAGGTATCATCACATTTGCTTGTCTGGTGGGTCCGCGCCTGTCTCTGCCGCTTCCTTGGAAGGTGCAGGGTCGGCCATGTGCTCAGTCACCTCGTCCTGCTTGAAAGCAGCTTTTGTGCCCTGTGCTCTTCAAGCTGGTTGGCAGGAGCCCCTCCGTCGGGCCGAGATGGCCCCCAGAGGACGCTGCTGCAGGCATCGTGGGGACGCCGAGGGCCCAGGCCCGGATCCCTGAGGAGGCAGCGTGTCCCCCGTGAGCTCCTCCAGGAGGTCTCGGGAGGTGGGGTGTGAGTGCAGTGCTGTGGCCACACAGACAGAGCCTTCCAGGGGTCTGGGCGTGCCCCAGCCCCTGCCCTGCGGCTGTCTGTGTGGCCAGCAGCAGCCCCCAGCCTGCAGAAGGGGTGGTGGGCGGACGCCCCGTGGAGGGCAGTGTCCGGGGCTGCAGCCCCGCAGAGCGAGGGCCTCGGGGTGGGGCGCTCAGCAGCATCCCCAGGGGTGATCCTGCCTGATCTCGGCGGGGCCACCGCTGAGCCTGGAGTGGCCTGTGGTGCTGTCACAACTGACTCGGACGCAGCGGCTGGAACCACGTCTGTGTCCTCTCACAGGAGGCCTTGGGGCCAGCTGTCCACAGGCGATCTGTTTCCCGGCGTTTCCAGCTTCGGGACACTGCCCAGGTCCCGGGCCTCCTCCCCTGACCCTGGTCCTTCTGCCCCCGTCCAAGGGCCTTGTGAGAACACGGCCCCAGAAAATGCAGAATGGCTGCCTCCAGGCCCACGGCCACACCTGCAGGGCCCCCGCCCCACCCGCCACGTGTGGTCACGGCTGCGGGTTCCGGGGGCAGGACATGGATGTCTGGAGCCTGACACTCCTCCACGAGCCCCATGATGCAACAGCAAAAACGGGAAGGCCCGGACAGTGGGAGGCTGCTGCTGGGCCCGCCCTGCGACCTGTCCCCTCCCGAGGGGCCTGGCCAGGGATTCCATCCCGGGAGAAAGTGCTTAGCCTTGAGACCCGGCTCTGGGGGGTTGTTCCCCCCTGTGCCCAGCAGCTTCCACAGTGCCCGGCCGCCCTGAACAGGCCCACACTCACTCCCTGGGACCCAGCCCTGCCCTCCCCAGGATCCCCTGCCCTCCCCAGTGTCCCCTCCCAGGACCCCTGCCCTCCTCTCCCCAGGCCCCTTCCCTCCCTGGGGCCCCCTCCCCTCCCTGGGGGCCCCTGCCCTCCCATCCCCAGGGCCTCTGCCCTCCCAGGTCCCCTCCCCTCCCCGGGCCCCCTGCCCTCCCTTCCCTGGGGCCCCTGTCCTCCCCAGGCCCCCTCCCCTCCCCTCCCCAGGGCTCCCATCCCCTCCCCGGGCCCCAGCCCTGACCCAGGCCCGCTGGCCCTGTGCAGCTCACCCCTCGGGGCATGTCTGAGCAGTCACCCAGTGACTTGAAGAAGGGTCCCAGGGGCTCCCCTGGTGCAGAGGCTGCCCATCGGGCAGGGCTCCTCCAGGAGGCAGTGACGGCCTCGCCTCATCATGGAAGTTGAAGAGAAGCCAGAAAGAGGACCCAGTGTCTCCGAGGCCAGAGCCCCTGTCCCCTTGAGGGCCCCCACTCTGTGCTCCCCCAGCATCCTGCCGCCTGTCTGTCCCGGGGCCCACACCCCTGTCCACCTGCGGACCGGCTCCTCTGAGACCCAGCCTCGGGCCACGTGGCGCGACGGCGTGGGCCAGGCCCAGCGGGATGCCCCGTGTGCAGACCTCGTGTGGACCACGGGCCAGGCCGGAGGCTAGGTGGGGCGAGCCGGGCCCCGGAGTGCTGTCAGCACCGCACCCCCCAGCTGGTCAGGGCCCCTGCCCAGCACTGCCCGCGGGCTGCAGGGGCACGCCCTCCCCGCACCCTCCTGCTTCCCCGGGCGACGATCAGGCAGAGCCCTGGAGGTCAGGGCCGGGCTGGGGCGTCAGTGTACACACTTTCTTTGCCGCCCTCCTCCTCCGCCCCCTGATAGCACAGCGCTGTGGACAGGGGAGGCATGTTTCCCTCTACGGCCAGCGCAGCCTTCGGGCCTGGGGGCACGCTGGCGGGTGGGTGGCCTGGTCAGGCCCAGACCCGGGACCCCACTGCGAATGTGCAGTGGCCCCAGGGCCGCCAGGGGGCGGTGGAGCCGTGTTCCCCGAGTTAGATCCTGTTCCCTGGGAAGCTCCGGCCTCCGTCCGATTGCAAATCAGTTTCCTGGGCCCAGGCTGCCTGTCCCGGTGAAGAGAAACACTCCCAGCCTGGTGTGGTGGGAGCCTCCCGCTTCCCTGGCTGGTCCAGGCCCGGGCTGAACTACTGTAGGAGAGAAACCGCCGGTGGGCTCCCGGACAGCGAGTCTCCAGCCTGGGCCTCGGGGCTCAGGGCAGCCCCGAGGGGCTGCAGAGACCTGCCCACTCTGCTTCCCCGCTACATCCTTGATGGGAAAGGCCTCGGCGTCCGTGGGTCCCTTCAGGCCTGGCCTCAGGACGCCTGGGTGGAGGCCCTCGGTGCCCGGACGGGGGGTGTTCAGCCTGCCAATAGCCTGGGCCTGGATCCATGCCTGCATCCTCGGAGGACCAGCCGAGGCTGCCCCCAGGCTGCTGGGGGGCCTGTGACGCACAGGATGCAAGGAGCCGGGACCTGGAGCCTGAGGTCTCCTGGCCGTGGTCACCGGGGTGCCCTCAGCTCCCAACCCCGAGCACCCGTGTGCCGAGGTCCATCCCTGAGAAGGGATGTAGGGACCCCAGCCCTGAAGCGAGGAGCCGAGGAAGCAGGAAGGTGGGACAGAGAGGTGATGGAGAGGAAGGGCTGCCGCAGGCTGGCGGCTCCCTGTCCCACCTAGGCCCGAGGCCCAGGGCCCCGACTGGAGGGTGCACAGAGCCCAACCTGCACTCATGAGAAGCCGAAGCAAGAAAGTGGGGCGTGGGGGGGTCCCCGGATAGGCCGGCATCCAGGAAGGGGTCCACGCAGGGAGGGTGGGAGTGCTGGGTGCCCGGGAGCCCATTCCCAGGAGGGGCAGGGACCCGCGGTGTGTTTGGAAGGTCAGTGCGGCTGCAGAGTGGTGTGCGATCCGAAGGGATGGGCGTGGAGGAGGACTGGGGCGGCGAGGGCCGTGCTGGGGCAGCTGTGCACCTGGGCTGTTCCAGGTTCCGCCGGCGTCATCGTTTAGCCCACCCACCTGGGGCTTCGACGGCCGCAGGGCACCCGAGAAGCACCTTGTTCACCACAGAGCTGTGTCCGCCTGGGAGGGCGCTGGCAGACCCGGAATCTGCCAGGGAGACGTCTCCCTTCTTGGTCTTGATGTTCCTGTCTGCTTTTCTGACCTGGATTTTGGGCGCTCTGGCGCCGGAAAGCACCAAGGTGCTCCTTCTCATGGATGTTCCCAGCATCCCCCAAGTCAGGTATGTTCTTGTGGGACCAAAAGTTGTCCCTGCTGTGGGCACTGAAAGAGAAGGTCAGAGACAATGGTGAGGCGGGATCTCCTGCCCCCAGGACGAATAGAAAGGTAATAACTAGGAAAAATCGAGAAAAACCCCAGCAAAAAAACAAGCAAGAACATGAACTTCAGACACTGGGTGCTGAGCTAGGAGGGGACAGCTCCCCCGCGGAGCAGAGGTGCAGACCACATGGTCCCCGGGCTGCCCCCCTGTCCCAGAGCCACGCCGGCCGGTGACCGGGGGCCGGGAGCCCCAGTTCGTCTGCACATACCGACCCTGGGAAGTTGTGGAACAGCAGAAATGGGGTGGGTGTGGGCTGACCCTCCCAGGAGGGCATGGAGGCTCCAGGCACACCAGCCATGGGCCTGGGATCTGGAACTGGACCCACTGCCCTCCCCCTGTGAGTCCAGGACATCCCACGGATTGCAGGAGGAAGCAAGGCTAGGCTGCTTCTAACAACACCCCTCCTCCTAGACCTCCCTTCTGCTACCAGCGCCCCCCTCCCCGAGCTTCCCACAGCATCCAGAACACAAGTATCCATGCCTCTGATGGGAAAGCAAACCATTGCCAAGCTTTGAGGGATGAGGGTTACAAACACACGGACACGTGGACAGTCGCTCAGGCTTGAACAAGATGGAAAGGGGTGGGGAGGCCAGGGGTGTGCAAATAGCCACAGGAGAATAAGTGGCTCAGGGCACAGGACAGGGTCAGAGCAAGACGACTACACAGCTGACTTGGGAGAAACAGCCAGCGAACAGAACCAAGTCTCCTCCCACGCTCTGCCCGAGAGATGTGATAAGAACAGGGACACGGGAGATAAACATCAAAAATATACAAAAGGCTACGAAATGAAAATCAGACCCCAGACATCAGAAAACAAACTGAAAACCAAACAGTATCAATAAAGAACCAGCAAATGGCTTATAGACAGCAAAGAGCAAAACAGACAAGGTGGAAATCGAGCAATCGACAGAGCTGTGTTCTCAGAGTGTGGTCCCTGGACCCGCGGTGTCAGCATCCTGTCAAATACAGATTCTCAGAAGGTTGGGGCCAGCAGCCTGTGGACCGACAGGCCTTCCAGGTGACGCCGAGACCACTCTGTGGGAGCCCCTGACCTCACAAAGGTTTCAGATGACCCAGTAAATGAAGTAAACCAAGAGGTGATTATTAAGAGTTTCATAAACCTAAATCACATTAAGAATAGACAAGACAACCCAGCCTAAGGATAACTGGTGCTCTTGAAGTGGTGCACCCAGCAAATGGAACAGAAAATGTGTACCTGTGGGTTGTGTGCATGTGTGTGTATATGTTTAGTGGCTGTGTGCACACATGTGGGGTGTACACCTGTGAGTGTGCAGGCATGCATCTGTATGCATGTATGTACATCTGCATGCACGTGTGTAGTGGGTATGTGTACACATTAGGTGTACATGTGTGAATGTGTATACATGCATGTATGTGTACATACATGATGTGATCTTTCAAAATACAGAGCCAGTTTAGTTTTTTTTTTTTTTCCATTTCAAGGAATTTTTTAAAAATCACAAGTACAGACTATCAGACTTCCCTGGTAGTCCAGTGGTTGGGAGACAGCCTGCCAATGCAGGGGACACGTGTTCGATGCCTGGTCTGGTAGATCCCACATGCAAAGGGCAAGTAAGACCGCATGCCACAACTACCAAGCCTGCACACCCTAGAGCCTGCTCACCACAACTAGAGTGGCCCCTGCTCACCGCAGCTAGAGGAAGCCCGCACGCAGCAACAGAGACCCAGCACAGCCATAAACACGCACATGAATGAATAAAAAGGGACAGACTTGTGATACAGAAATATTTCAAGTTTAGAAAATGCACTAGTTTTACTTGTTATGTTAAAACTGACGTTAAGTGAAATTAAATATACTTTGAAGTGTTGAGAGCATCCATAGTAAGATTCCATTTCATGAGAGTGCAGCTGCCCTCCTGGTGGTACACACTTCAGCGTACTGGGCTCACTTATGTTAATGGCGGTCTTGCTGAAGAGAAGAACTTGGCCGGTTTCCCTTCTTCCTCACGTGGTTCTGTGGTGTGGATGGCGTGGAGGGATGTCTGACAGCACGGGATCAAGGTGACAGGCTCTCGTTCCGGTCCCACAGTCATGGTTGTACCACAACCCTCCTAAATCGTTTGCTGATGTTTTTATGTCCTGTGTCACCCCAACAAAAGGGGCCATGCTCCTGTGCTGAGTAAATCTGTGCCGCGTGTGTTGTGTGCACGTCTGTGCCGTGTGTGTGTTGTGTGCACGTCTGTGCCGTGTGTGTTGTATGCATGCTTTTGATGCATACACGTGGTTGTGGGATCCTTGGCCCCTTCTGCTTCCCTGACATTTCACCCCCACTGTGTATTAAAAATCCGCCCATGCTGTGTGACCCTGCCCCGGGGGGTTCGGTGGTGCCATTCCTTCTTTGGGATGGACACTCAGGCAAGGCTGTGAGGACAGCCCGCAGCTGAGCAGGGTGTTCCCGCTTCAATGCTCAAGTGTATGTTGTCCAGAGAACACGGTCCAGGTTCCCCGATTCTCACCCATCACGGCTTTGGGCTGCTTCCCAGCTCTGTGAGGTGCAGGTGACGGAGGAGCAGAAACGCTCCTTATTCCCGCTCCCCGCCGTCCACGGCTGCTCAGGACTGCTCACTGCCGCCTCCACGCACACCGTCCTCAGCCCATCAACCCGGGCCCATCAGTGTCAGTTCTCTGGGTTCTCTTTGAACCAGTCTGATTCTTAGAGTGAGTAGAATAGAGTCTCTAATGCATTCCATTTTCTATGTCTCCTGAGGGAGACCTGACCTGACTTTCCTTCTGCAAGTCCTCTTGTCCCCAGAGGGGCCTGTCTCCTCACAGAGCTGTGTGAGGGTTTCTCTGGGAAGCATGTCACAGGAAGAGCTGACTGACGGGCCGGGCATCGCTGGGCCACACCAGTGTCACCAGGGTCTGCTCTCCCCCGCCTCCCGTGCCTCACAGCAGAGGTGCCCCTCCACCGGGCACCCGACCCCACCAGGCCGGGAGGAGAGGGGACACGGCGTCTCCAAGGCAGAAGGGCCCCCCTGATGAGAGACTCGCTTCCCTGGCCCTGGGGATGGGTGATACTCTAGATCAAGGGTGGCCGGCGGGAGGACTCACCATCCATGTTTGTAAATAAAACTTTATTTATCGGCCCTCCGAGGCTGCCGCTCGGATCTGTCTGGTCAGTCTGCCTGTGACGATGCGGGCTGCTCTCCAGCGCAGCCCACCCCATGCGTCGGGCCCGTCCCCTCCCTGACCGCCGCTCCCCCAGAGCCCTGCTCTCGAGGCCCAGTTTCCCACGGGCTCCTCCTTCAGAACCCTGCTTCATGCTGACCTCGGATTTCTCCCATGTTGCCCGCTGCATTCTCAGCCCCTTTCTTGCTGATATAGAGAAAATCCTTTTCTATTCTAGCAATTGTGCATGTTACAAATACCTCCTGCTATTCCTTCAGTGTTTCTGCAGGTCTGGAACCCTTTTTAATGAACCTGCGTAATTTTTGCCCCCCGAATGAGAATGTTCTTAAAGGTACACACAAGAGTGTGGCAAGCAGAATTGCTTTGTGCAGTGACAGAAGCCTTGGGGTGAGCAAACGCTGGGGAGCCGCTCTGGGTTTGGCAGTGTCACTTCCCGGACACGTGAGCTTCGCTGATGGGGGTTTCTGCCTCTCTCCTTCCATGGAGCCCTGCCCTCCTGCTTCCCCCAAACCCACAGTCATTTCAGCAGCCGCCCTGTGTGGGGAGGAGGCTGCCTGAGTCAACCCCTGGGAGAATTATTGGAAGGCCCCAGGAGGGCGGGGCCCGCCAAGCTGAAGCCCTGTGGACCCCACTGCCTCTTCCCCCACTCGGTGACCCCCAGGGAGGATGGTTACCATCTGCCGGGTCCAAGACTGACACAGGCCTCAGACCCGCCCTGTCTGGACGCTCGGCGAGGCCTGTGTGACAGTCCCTCCACTGAGGGCCCGCGTTGCTGCGGGGTGTTTATGGGCACACGCTTGCCAATGGACACTCCTGCACCCCTGCCCCGCAAGTCCCAGGCAGTCCATCTCCCCTGACCACCCCAGTTTAGGGGCGCAACCTCGCAGGACTTGCAAGCTGGAACTCGACCTGGCCAACACCCCTGTGTCCCCATCCAGCAGCGTGGCCCTACTTGGCGGGACCCAAGGCAACAACTGCCCAGAGCCCAAGGGGCAGGGAGGGGACATGTCCTCTGCACAGAGACATGGGGTCCCTTCCTGCACTACCTGGGCAGCCTCTGGCCAAACGGGGAGCGATCCCCATGTTAGATCAGCCACAGGACACGCATGATGGCTTGTGACCCCGTGGACTCTTTTGCGGTGATACTGGGTCTGGGCACTGGGTGAGGTTTATCTGCAAGCACAGCTGAGAGCTGAAGCTCTCAGGTGGCCGGCCTGGCCAGGCGTTTGCAGCAGCAGCTTCACAAATGTCCCAACAATGCAGACAGGTACTGGGGACCCGGCGTGCGAAGGCTGGGAGCTAGACACTGCTCCCCAGGGTAGGGACCATGACCCCGGGGCCCCATGGGGCCCGTGTGCTGAATCGGGGTGCTGTGAGCAGCTGTGAGGCATGTCACAATCTGCTACAATGAGGGTTAGTGGGCTCCCACCAGAGTGGCTGAAAACAGGCCCAGACAGTAACAAGTGCTGACACGGGTGTGGAGACGCTGGACTCCTCATGCGCAGATGACGGCAGTGGAATCGGGCAGCTGTTCTGTAAACAGCGAGTCACCTGTGACCCAGCAGTTTCAGTCCTAGGTTTATACTCCGGCGAAATGGAAACACATGCACACAAACCCCTGTACAGAGGCATTCAAGCAGCCCCAAGGGGGGCCCCCAGAGTCCATCAGATGGGCACATCCACACAGCGGGGTAGTATTCGGCCATAGAAAGCGATGAAGCCCTGGTAACATGACACAACACGGATGAGGCTGGAAACATGACCCCGCGTGGATCAAGCCGCTCAGAGAGAGAGCACGTTTTCAAGGGGCTCCGTTTATTTGAAACACTCGGAGTTTCAGAGCCGGAGAGGCAGAAGGCAGACTAGTGGTTGCCAGGGGCTGGGTGGGTGGTGGGGTGGGCGGCCAGAGGGCAGGAGGGGTCGCCTGGGGTCGGGGTGGGTGGTGGGGTGGGCGGCCAGAGGGCAGGAGGGGTCGCCTGGGGTCGGGGTGGGTGGTGGGGTGGGCGGCCAGAGGGCAGGAGGGGTCCCCTGGGGTTGGGGTGGGTGGTGGGGTGGGTGGCCAGAGGGCAGGACGGGTCCTCTGGTGTGGGGTGGGTGGCCAGAGGGCAGGAGGGGTCCCCTGGGGTGGGGTGGGCGGCCAGAGGGCAGGAGGGGTCACCTGGGGTCGGGGTGGGTGGTGGGGTGGGCGGCCAGAGGGCAGGAGGGGTCCCCTGGGGTCAGGGTGGGTGGTGGGGTGGGCGGCCAGAGGGCAGGAGGGGTCCCCTGGGGTCGGGGTGGGTGGTGGGGTGGGCGGCCAGAGGGCAGGAGGGGTCCCCTGGGGTCGGGGTGGGTGGTGGGGTGGGCGGCCAGAGGGCAGGAGGGGTCCCCTGGGGTTGGGGTGGGTGGTGGGGTGGGCGGCCAGAGGGCAGGACGGGTCCTCTGGTGTGGGGTGGGTGGCCAGAGGGCAGGAGGGGTCCCCTGGGGTGGGGTGGGTGGTGGGGTGGGAGGCCAGAGGGCAGGAGGGGTCGCCTGGGGTCGGGGTGGGTGGTGGGGTGGGCGGCCAGAGGGCAGGAGGGGTCGCCTGGGGTCGGGGTGGGTGGTGGGGTGGGCGGCCAGAGGGCAGGAGGGGTCGCCTGGGGTGGGGTGGGTGGTGGGGTGGGCGACCAGAGGGCAGGAGGGGTCCCCTGGGGTTGGGGTGGGTGGTGGGGTGGGCGGCCAGAGGGCAGGACGGGTCCTCTGGTGTGGGGTGGGTGGCCAGAGGGCAGGAGGGGTCCCCTGGGGTGGGGTGGGTGGTGGGGTGGGCGGCCAGAGGGCAGGAGGGGTCCCCTGGGGTCGGGGTGGGTGGTGGGGTGGGCGGCCAGAGGGCAGGAGGGGTCCCCTGGGGTGGGGTGGGTGGTGGGGTGGGCAGCCAGAGGGCAGGAGGGGTCCCCTGGGGTCGGGCACGTTCTGGCGCTGGGCCGCTGCACAGCTCTGTCGACTGGTGAAAAGCCATTAAGCCGCGCTCTGGAAATAGCTGAATTTTATGGTTTGTGAGTTACGCCTCTATAAAGCTGTTAAAAAAAGCCGAGTGGAAAAAGATCAAGTTTATGGGTGCCAGTATGCATATTACCGCGGCCTTTGTCAGAATCAGCTGAGTGGAGACTGTCTCCAGGTGGAGGCTGCTGGCTGACCCTGTGTCCTTCTCAGGACCTGAGGCTCCATCTGTGTTATCCAGCTTGGGGAGGTGATGGAGGCTCACAGGACTGGGGTCTTTGTTCCTCTGTCGTCATGGAGACCTGGGGAGTGACAGGGAGAACATGCGCTGGCCTGGCCGGAGATGCTTCTGGACAGAAGGGACACCAACACCCAACACACGCCCTCCTTGGAGCATCAAGGGGCTTTTGAGGGCAGCAGGCCAGCTGCCGCCCTTACATTTGGGGCTCACTCTTCCCACTCCCTGGAGGGCTGGCTCCGGCTGGATGCACTGCCTTCCTGGGAGCAGTGTGTGTGTGTGTGTCAGAGGACCCGCACAGGATACGAGCCACTTGGGGCCTCGGGGCCCCTCCAAGTGATGGGGTCCAGGCCCTGAGCCCAGCTTGCCACCCATCACCTGGAGAAGCATTTCTGGGGGGAAACCAGCCATTCAGACAGCCTCCACCCTGGCCCTGGCTGCCTCTGCCTGGACAGAATGGGGAGAAGTGGGCCCAGCAAGAAAAGCCCTACAGTGCAGAGGGGGCCTGTGCTGGGTCATGCATGGTGGCGAGGGGGGCAGTGGGCAGTGAGTAGGGGCCCTGCCCCACCTGCTTCCTGCTTGCGGTGCCATGGGCCATCTGAGTGCCTGCAAGGTGGCTGGGCGCCTGGTCCCTGCTGGTCGTGTTCCTGGTCAGATGGCCCCCGACGACATGCATGCACAGCCTTGCTCTCCTGAGAGCACAGGGCCCGTCACCGGGGCGCCCCATGCTGCCCTCCTGTGGCCAGCTCCCTGCAGCCCATGCCACGCACCTACCCTCTGCGGTGGCAAGGGCCCCGGGCATCAAGGCCATGACGACCTTCCAGTGGCCCGGACTTAGGAGAGCTGTGGTCTCCCCCGCCCCTGCTACCCCAGTGGTTTCGTTTCAGTGGGGCCAGCGCGGCCATCTGTGAGCAGGGACCGGTTCTCGGAGCGGCTGGACGGCGGGAAAGGAAACTGCAGGAAATGGGAGGAGATGATGGAGCCAGGCACAGCCCAGACCACATGTGTCAGGAATCATTTATGTCTTTCCTTAATAAGGCTTGCCGGTGAACGCCCTGCTTGTCCGGCAGGGCCGGACGAGCTCATGTCTCATCCGTGCCTTGTGGAAGAGCAGCTCTTCAACTTGGGAGCCGGCATCCAGAGGAGGGACCTGCTCTCGTCACTGACAGCTGAGGGCCACTTCCCTCCCAGTCATGTCCAGACAGGGTTCATGAGGGGACTCCCTGCTCCACGTTCAGTGAGGAATACGCGCATGGCGTCCCTAGTTATTATGGTTGTGTTCCTGGAAGACTCAACTGAAATTCAAAGCACACTCGAGAAGGCTGCCTTTCTAGAGAATTCATTGTAGCTTTTTATACTGTTCCTGGGATTCTCGCGGCAAGAACACTGGAGTGGTTTGCCATGTCCTCATCCAAGAGAGGAGGAAAATGGTTTGCCATTTCCCTTTCTCCATTGCTTTCTGCTCCTCTTCTTTTCTCAATGGTTTGTAAGCCCTCCTCAGACAACCATGTTGCCTTCTTGCATTTCTTTTTCTTGGGAATGGTTTTGGTCACTGCCTCCTGAACAATGTTACGATCCTCTGTCCATAGTTCTTCAGGCACTCTGTCTATCAGATCTAATCCCCTTGAATCTACTGGTCATTTACATTGTAAAATCATGAGGGATTTGATTTTGGTAATACTTGAATGACCTACTGAATTTAGGTTATACCTGAATTTCCCTACTTTCTTCAATTTAAGTCTGAATTTGGCAATAAGGAGTTCAAGATCTCAGCCACGGTCAGCTCCTGGTTTTGTTTTTGCTGACTGTATAAAGCTTCTCCATCTTTGGCTGCAAAGAAGATAATCAATCTGATTTCTGTATTAACATCTGGTGATGTCCATGTGTAGGGTCATCCCTTGTGTTGTTGGAATAGGGTGTTTGCTATGACCAGTGCGTCCTCTTGGCAAAACTGTTAGGCTTTGACCTGCTTCGTTTTGTACTCCAAGGCCAAACTTGCCTGTTACTCCAGGTATCTCTTGATTTCCTGCTCTTGCATTCCAGTCCCCTATGATGAAAAGGATATCTTTTTTTCGTGTTACTTCTAGAAAGTCTTGTAGGTCTTCATGGAACTGGTCAACTTCAGCTTCTTCAGCATCAGTGGTTGAGACATGGATGTGGATTACTCTGATATTGAAAGGTTTGCCTTGTAAAAGAATCAAGATCATTCTGTCATTTTTGAGATTGCACCCAAGTACTGCATTTTGGACTCTTTTGTTGACTGAGGGCTACTCCATTTCTCCTAAGGGATTCTTACCCACAGTAGTAGATACAATGGTTATTTCAGTTCAGTCACTCAGTCGTGTCTGACTCTTTGCGACTCCACGGACTGCAGCACGCCAGGCTTCCCTGTCCATCAGCAACTTCCAGATCTTACTCAAACTCATGTCCATTGAGTCGGTGATGCCATCCAACCATCCCATCCTCTGTCATCTCCTTCTCCTCCTGCCTTTAATCTTGCCTGGCATCAGAGTCTTTTCCAATGAGTGAGTTCTATGCATCAGGTGGCCCAAGTATTAGAGTTTCAGCTTCAGCATCAGTCCTTCCAATGAATATTCAGGACTGATCTCCTTTAGGATGGACTGGCTGGATCTTCTTGCAGTCCAAGGGACTCTCAAGAGTCTTCTCCAACACCATAGTTCAAAAGCATCAATTCTTCAGTGTTCAGATTTCTTTATAGTCCAACTCTCACATCCATACAGGACTACTGGAAAAACCAAAGCTTTGACTAGATGGACCTTTGTTGGCAAAGTAATGTCTCTGATTTTTAATATGCTGTCTAGGTTGGTCATAGCTTTTCTTCAAAGAGCAAGCATCTTTTAATTGCATGTCTGCAATCACTATCTGCAGTGATTTTGGAACCCCCCAAAATAAAGTCAGCCACTGTTTCCATTGTTCCCCCATCTATTTGCCATGAAGTGATGGGACCAGATGCCATGATCTTAGTTTTCTGAATTTTGAGCTTTAAGCCAACTTTTTCACTCTCCTCTTTCACTTTCATCAAGAGGATCTTTAGGTCTTCTTCACTTTCTGCCATAAGGGTGGTGTCATCTGCATATCTGAGGTTATTGATATTTCTCCCGGCAATCTTGATTCCAGCTTGTGCTTCTTCCAGCCCAGCATTTCTCATGATGTACTCTGCATATAAGTTAAATAAGCAGGGTGACAATATACAGCCTTGACGTACTCCTTCTCCTATTTGGAACCAGTCTGTTGGTCCATGTCCAGTTCTAACTGTTGCTTCCTGACCTGCATACAGGTTCTCAAGAGGCAGGTCAGGTGGTCTGGTATGCCCATCTGTTTAAGAACTTTCCACAGTTTGTTGTGATCCACACAAAGGCTTTTGGCATAGTTAATCAAGCAGAAGTAGATGTTTTTTCTGGAACTCTTTCTTTTTTTATGATCCAGCAGATGTTGGTAATTTGACCTCTGGTTCCTCTGCCTTTTCTAAACCCAGCTTGAACATTTGAAACTTCATGGTTCATGTACTGTTGAAGCCTGGCTTGGAGAATTTTGAGCATTACTTTGCTAGTGTGTGAGATGAATGCAATCGCGCGGTAGTGTGAGCATTCTTTGGCGTTGCCTTTTCTTGGGACTGGAATGAAAACTGACCTTTTCCAGTTCTATGGCCATGAGTTTTCCAAATTTGCTGGCATATTGAGTGCAGCACTTTCACAGCATGATTTTTTAGGATTTGAAATAGCTCAACTGGAATTCCATCACCTCCACTAGCTTTTTTCATAGTGATTCTTCCTAAGGCCCACTTGACTTTGCATTCCAGGATGTCTTGTTCTAGGTGAGTGATCACACCATCATGATTATCTGGGTCATGAAGATCTTCTTTGTATAGTTTTTCTGTGTATCCTTGCCACCTTTTTTTAAGACCTGCTTCTGTTAAGTCTATACCATGTCTGTCCTTTATTGAGCCCATCTTTGCATGAAATGTTCCCTTGGTATCTCTAATTTTCTTGAAGAGATCTCTAGTCTTTCCCATTCTATTATTTTTCTCTATTTCTTTACACTGATCACTAAGGAAGGCTTTCTTACCTCTGCTTGCTATTCTTTGGAACACTGCTTTCAAATGGATATTTCTTTCCTTTTCTCCTTTGCCTTTCACTTCTCTTCTTTTCACAGCTATTTGTAAGACCTCCTCAGACAATCATTTTGCCTTTTTGCATTTCTTTTTCTTGGGTATGGTCTTGATCATTGCCTCCTGTACAATGTCATGAACCTCCATCCATAGTTCTTCAGGCACTCTGTCTAGTAGATCTAATCCCTCGAATCTATTTGTCACTTTCACTGTATAATTTTAAGGGATTTGATTTAGGTCATATCTGAATGGTCTAGTGGTTTTCCATATTTTCTTCAATTTAAGTCTGAATTTGTCAATAAGGAGTTGATGATCTAAGCCACAGGCAGCTCCTGGTCTTGTTTTTTACTGACTGTATAGAGCTTCTCCATCTTTGGCTGCAAAGCATATAATCAATCTGATTTCAGTGTTGACCATCTGGTGATGTCCATGTGTAGAGTCATCCCTTGTGTTGTTGGAAGAGGGTATTTTCTATGACCAGTGCGTTTCTTGGCAAAACTCTATTAGCCTTTGCACTGCTTCATTCTGTAATCCAAGGGCAAATTTGCCTGTTACTCCAGGCAACTCTTGACTTCCTACTTTTGCATTTCAGTCTCCTATAATGAAAAGAGCATCTTTTTGGGGTATTAGTTCTAGAAAGTCTTGTAGGTCTTCATAGAACCATTCAACTTCAGCTTCTTCAGCATTACTAGTTAGGGCTTGGATCACTGTGATATTGAATGGTTTGCCTTGGAAACAAACAGAGGTCATTCTGTCGTTTTGAGATTGCCTCCAAGGACTGCATTTCAGACTCTTTGTTTTACTATGATGGCTACTCCATTTCTTCTAAGGGATTCCTGTCCACAGTAGTAGATATAATGGTCATCTGAGTTAAACTCACCCATTCCGGTCCATTTTAGTTTGCTAATTCCTAAAATGTCGATGTTCACCCTTGCCATCTCCTGTTTGATCACTTCCAATTTGCCTTGATTCATGGATGTAACATTCCAGGTTCCTATGGAATAGTGCTGTTTACAGCATCAGACTTTACTTCTATCACCAGTCACATCCACAACTGGGTGCTGCTGTTGCTTTGGCTCCATCTCTTCATTCTTTCTGGAGTTATTTCTCCACTGATCTCCAGTAGCATATTGGGCAACCACCGACCTCGGGAGTTCATCTTTCAGTGTCCTTTCTTTCTGCCTTTTCACTCTGTGTATGGGGTTCTCAAGGCAAGAAGTGGTTTGCCATCCCCTTCTCCAGTGGGCACCGAGAGTTTTGTCAGAACTCTCCACCATGACCCACCCAGCCCTGCATGGCATGGCTATAGTTTCATTCAGTTACACAAGCCTGTGATTCATGTGATCATTTTGGTTAGTTTTCTGTGACTGTGGTTTTCATTCCGAAGGCCATGGGATTGCAATTCTTGCTTCTTCTCTCTGCCCTTCTATCTGGGAGGTGATGAATATATTCAAGGGATTCGATCTGGTAGACAGAGTGCCTAAAGAACTATGGATGGAGGTTCTTAACACTGTTCAGGAGGTGGTAACCAAAACCGGCCACAAGAAAAAGAAATGCAAAAAGGCAAAGTGGTTGTCTGAGGAGGCCTTCCAAATAGCTGAGAGAAGAGAAGCAAAAGGCAGAGGAGAAAGGGAAAGATATACTCAACTGAATGCAGGTTCTGGAGGACACTAAGGAGAGATAAGAAAGCCTTCCTCAGTGAACAGTACAAAAATAAATAAATAAATAAATAAAGGAAAACAACAAAATGGAAAAGACTAGAGATCTCTTCAAGAAAATTAATGATATCAAGGGAACATTTCATGAAAGGATGGGCACAATAAAGGACAGAAATGGTAAAGCCCCAACAGAAGCAGACGATATTAAAAAGAGGTGGCAAGAATACACAGAAGAACTATACAAAAAAGGTCTTAATGACCTAGATAACCATGATGGTGTGGTCAATTATCTAGAGCCTGACATCCTGGAGTGTGAAGTCAAGTGGGCCTTCAGAAGCATCACTACGAACAAAGCTAGTGGAGGTGATGGAATTCCAGCTGAATTACTTAAAATCCTAGAAGATGCTACTGCTAACGTGCTGCACTCAATATGTCAGCAAATTTAGAAAACTCAGCAGTGGCCACAGGACTGGAAAAGGTCAGTTTTTGTTTAAATCCCAAAGAAGGGCAATGCCAAAGAATGCTCAGACTACCAAACAGTTGTGCTCATCTCCCATGCTGTAAGGTGACACTCAAAATCTTTCAAGCTAGGCTTCAGCACTACATGAACTGAGAACTTCCAGATGTATAAGCTGGGTTTAGAAAAGGCAGAGGAACCAGAGATCAAATTGGCAACATCCACTGGCTCACAGAGAAATCAAGGGAATTCCAGAAAAACAGCTATTTCCACTTCACCAACTAAGCTAAAGACTTTGACTATGTGAATCAAAACAAACTGTGGAAAATTCTTTAAAAAGATGGGAATACTAGACCATCTTACCTTTTTCCTGAGAAACCTGTATGTGGGTCAAGAAACAATAGTTAGAACCTTATATGGTACAACTGACTAGTTCAAAATTGGAAAAGGAGTATGACAAGGCTATATATTGTCACCCTGTTTATTTTACTTATATACAGAGTACATCATGCAAAATTATGGGCTGGATGAATCCCAAGCTGGAATCAAGATGGCCAGCAGAAATATCAACAGATTTGGACATGCAGATGATACCACTCTCATGGCTGAAACTGAAGAGGAATTAACTTGATGAGGGTGAAAGAGAAGCATGGAAAAAGCTGGCTTAAAACTCAGCATTCAAAAAACTCAGATCATGGCATCCAGTCCCATCACTTCATGGCATGGGAAAAAGTGGAAGCAGTGACAGATTTTATTTTCTTGGGCTCCAAAGTCACTGGGGGCATTGACTGCAGCTGTGAAATTAAAAGACGATTGCTCCTTCGAAGGAAACCTATGACAAACTGAGACAGCATATTAAAAAGTAAAGACATCACTTTGCTGACAAAGGTCCATCTAGTCAGAGCTATGGTTTTACCAGTAGTCATGAATGGATGTAAGAGTTGGACCATAAAGAACGCTGACTGCCAAAGAATTGATGCTTTTGAACTGTGGTGCTGGAGAAGACTCTTGCAAGTCCCTTGGACTGCAAGTACTCAAACCAGTCAATCCTAAAGGAAATTAACCCTGAATCTTCACTGGAAGTACTGATGCTGAAGCTGAAGCTCCAATACTGTGGCCACCTGATGGGAAGAGTCGACTCATTGGAAAACACCCTGATGCTGGGAAAGATGAAGGCAACAGGAGAAGAGGGCCATCGAGGATCAGATGTTTAGATAGCATCACTGATTCAATGGACTAGAATCTGTGCAAACTCCAGGAGACAGTGAAGGACAGGCAAGCCTGGTGTGCTGCAGTCCAAGGGGCTGCAAAGAGATATGCTGGATGTGACTTAGTGAGTGAATTACAACAAATAATTGAAAACTAGAGGTGGGCTAGTGCTTCTTTTGAGGGAACTTCTGGCTGAGCTACTTCAAAATAAGCATTTCAGAGTTTATCAGGAAAAGCATGACAATCTTTGCCTCACTGTTTGCTACTCTGTCTAGTCTAAGGATTTTCCCCTGACATCTTTATCATATATGACTACTTTTCCAAATAAACAGACACTGCACAATAACAAAAAAAAACCAGTTAACTTTCTCCCTCTGGCTTTATTAAGGCCAAATTTAATCAGATTCAATCTACTTCTATTCTGAAGCTTGTCTAATTTGCTCATATGTAATGTGTGAACATTCATGTTTTTCTATGAGGAAAAAATAGGATATTAAAATTGTTTTTTTCTGTCCTTGAAAAGTCATGGAAGGTAATTCATCTCACATAATTTTAGTGATAGATTTTTTTAATAAAAATAGAATCTGTTATTAAATAGAAGCTTGAATAATTAGCCACTTAGATGTGTATATTTACATTTTCAAGAAAGAATGTTCAAGCACATCTGAGCACTGAGAAGATTTTCATATTGCTCTAAGCAATGAAAAGACAGCTACCAAGTTGAGACAAAGTATTTTCATGCCAAGATTCTCAGGCATTGATTGGAGAATTTAAGTATTTTCATTAACTGCTTAATATTTATTGCAAAAAACATAATTCAGTGTTGAAAACAGAATTCCTTATAAACTAACAGAAAATGTTTGTTCTTTAAAAACACACAACAAAATTGATAAATGTTTTGTTTTCCTTCTCTCCATTACAGAAAATTTAAAAATACTTACAAAAGTACAGAGGATAAAATGATGTGCCTATAACCCGTATGCAAGCATTGTAAATGTTTCCAATCTTGTTTTATCCATTCCCTTGTCCCTTTTTCTAAAGTAGATTAAATGCCAAACATCCTGACATTTTACCTGTAGACACTTTTGCTTGCATCTTTAATCGATAAAGATTTTTTCCTCCATAACCACCAAACACACTATTATCATATTTGACTAATAAGACTTCCTTTATACCATCAAACACAAGTTCATATTCAAATGTCCCTAATTATCCACTCATCATTGATTCAACAGACATGAGTTTGAGCAAACTCTGGGAGACAGTAAAGGACAAGGAAGCCTAGCGTGCTGCAGTCGACAAGTTTGCAAAGAGTCAGATATGACTGAATGACTGAACAACAACAAAAATAAGCCAGGAAAGTGTTTCATAGGTGATCTGAATCAGGATTCAAACAACCCACCTTGCAGTAGGCTGTGAACTCTCCTTCACTCTCTCTTCTCCACTTCCTTTCAGCCCCTGTGCCCTGGGCTTCTTGGAGAAAGCAGGTCACAGACCCTGTGGAATGTCCCATGATCTGGATTTGCTCACCTGTGTCCTTGCTGTGTCATTTAGCTTGTTCCTCTCTCTCCACTTTATCTGCATGTTGCAATTAGAACTAGAGGCTGAGTTGCTTTCAGGTTTAATTTTTTAGAGAACATTGAGTAGGTGACGATGTGGATGTCTCACCATATCAAATCTTGATGTTTGTGGTACCTGGTTGTTCCACTTATAATAAGGCCAAGAATGACCAGCAATTCAGGTGGTATTCGATGGAGGCTAACTTGTTTTTCTTCTGAACATTTATGAGACAGAAATAGTCTTGGTTTTGCTATCAATCTTGATAAAGACATATGTGAGGTTAGGCAGCCTTGTTGGGGATGTCTGTGGGGCAGGGGAGCTCACTGCATCCCCGGCATAGAATATTCATCTCTGGATCCCAGCTGACCCAGGGCACAGACGGGTCAGCCATGCTCAGCTCTCTCCTGGGTTCCCACGGACTGGTCACGGAGTAGACACCTAAGTGCCTGTGAACAACTCAGCGAATGAAAACAAGGGGCCTCACAGGCATCCTGGGGAGGAAGGATGAAGTATGAGCTGGACTGGTGATGCTGGGGATGAAGAAGAGGATGAAGTCAAGGCTCTCCTCTTCAGGGCACAGTCAGTCTTGGGGCTAGAATGGGTGCTGGGGAGGAGAGGAAGGGGAAACAGGCTCCAGGTTTCTGGTTTGGGCAACTGGGCAGAAGGAGTGCCTGGAGAAGGGGGTCAGGTTTGTTGGGCAGCAACTGCAGGATCTACTGGTGACCTGCTGAATTTAAGGTACTTCAAGAACATTCCTGCAGACCTACCCATCGTGGAAGAGGGCACCTCATGGGGGAGCTGGTGGCCCCTAAGTTTCAGCCTGTGCCGTGAGAAAGGTGGGACATCATCAAGACAGTCGCGGGCAGAGAAGAGGTGAGGATGTTAGAACAGGGGGTCCGTGGAGAGGTGAGAAGGGAGAGTCCCAGAGACCAGAGGCTAGCTGAGAGGGGTGCATCACAGGGATGGGAGTCAAGATGCGGGGTGCTGACGGAGCAACATGGGCGGAGAAGCAGACAGAAGCATGCCCTGAAGGGGCCCGTTGGAAGTGAGAAGTGGACACAGGCCAGAGGCATTCCTGAGGTAGAAGAAGCAGGCCTTGGAGACAATGTGAGGCTGGGGGCTGAGGGCACGGGGATCTGGGGGAGGCCGGGACCGGACTCACCCTCTGGAACAGGGAGCGGCGCGCTGGTGGACGAGGGAGGCCAGGGACGGCGGGCGGGGAGACAACGGGAGAGCGGGAGGGTGGGGCTCAGACACACGTCACTCCCAGCGCTCGCCCTCCTCATCGCCAACCTCCGAGGTCACATGGGGGCTGCCATATTGGCGCACTAGACCCCGCCCCTGGTCTCAGCCAATTGGCTCGAGGATGAGCACGTGACCCAAAGCAGTCCAATCAGGGCCCTTCAGTGCGGAGGCCTCCCTGTCCTTGCAGGTGCAATAAGGCGTTTTTCAGACGCTTTCTGCGTGGAAGGTGGAAATGTTTGGCCAGCATCGCTCTCCCTGCCTTCTGGCTCCTTGTTGGGTCTGGCAGGTGGGAAAGCGCAGCAGGAGACTGGAGGAGAGGTCCCGCCAGTCAGGATACTTATTCCCTGCTGGCTGCATTGGTGGTTTCCTGTTGCTGGTCACAGCCCCCCAAGGCAGCATCTCCTTGGGTCTGCACTCACACACCTCTGGGCCAGGGGAGCTGCTGCCCTCTATGCTACCCTCGGACCTTACGCCATCACCTGTAGTTCCCTTACCCACTGCGTGTCCACCCATACAGGCTCTGTATTAAACCCTCCCTGAATTACCCTAATGGACTATGCCATCTGATTTCTGTGCGACCCTGATCTCCCATGGTGATGGTGAACCAGAGCAGAGAAGAAAACTCAGAACTTGCCTGGGTGGCAGAACTAAGGCACTGAGGCAAGCCCAGTGGCTCATGGGCTGGGAGTGAGGCTGATGAAGGAGATGCTGGGTGAGGAGCTGGGGGACAGGCTTCTCCCTTCTCTGCTCCCAGTGGTGCCAGGCCTGCGGCCCTGCCCTTGGGCTCAGAGCTGTCCCCCAAATCCCTGCATAAATTTGCTTTTCTGCTTAAATCACCCCAGTTTGTTCTTGTCTGTACAACCGAAAGTCCCAACTGACACGTCACCACAGAACAGAAAGTCTAGAAAAGGGTCAGGTGGCCTTGGCATGTGTGCCTCCCTTTCAGCTGTTAACTTTTCCACAAATCCAGCATTGTAAGATGTTGACTGCAGGTACCAGAGAGAAAGGCGGTCATTACAGAACGAAACAGGGATGACTCAAGCCACTGGAGAAGGACGTCCTGTGACAGAACACAGGCATGCCAGGAGTTTACGCAGAGAAGACGCTGGCCAACTCAAAATAGGAGGAGAGCTGAACCCTGCTGGTGTGAACCAGGATGAATTTTCGCAGAATTTCTAGGGCTCCCTTGCCTCTTGCCTCCTCTCTTAGGCACCCTCCATCCACTTGATGATCTACATACATTCTGGGCCCCTGGGCCCTGCTGACGTCAGTCCTGGGTTCTCCTTCTTTTGAAGGCTTTGCTGGAACCCAGGGGAAAGTCTGCAAATGTAATAACTACTTCTTGGAGGTCAACTTAGATCTGAAATGTCCATGTCATGATGGGCGATAGTCAACCTGGACAGTGAACAATTTCACACAAAATCCGATGTCCCGGCCAAGCTGTTTTTCAGCTACACAAAAGATGATTGGGAATGTGAATAATAACTGAAGTTGGGTTTCATGTGAAGATGGTGAGAAAAGTGTTTTCAGCACTGCTATCTGTGATCACTCCAAGGGGCTCCTGGGCTCTCCATGAAGAGCCCAGTTTCTCTGTGTGAGGGCTCTCTGGGGAGCATCTTTTCTCAGTCACATGCTGAGTGGGATCAGGAATATCCCAGAAGACATCAGGCACGCTTATTTTATGAGCCACAGTCGAACATGCTGGTGCTTCTGCTTTCTTTAGACATTAAAGGAAAATGTAACAAAACCTGTCCACTCTGATGTGTTGTAGCTCAGAAGTCCCAACCCAGGGCTTCCTGAGTTAGCAGAGACAGCAGTGTCACAGTGTGCCCCCAGGTGTGGCTGGATGCTGTCCACACACCTACAGAATCTGTTGTGATGCTGGGACAAGGTACCCAGAGTTTCCCCTCCCCTTCTTTGCTCTGCTTTATTGAAATGCAAGGTGTGCCCTGGTGCTAAACCCTGGAAGGTGTTGCAAGTGAACATGTGTCCACCTGTTCTTCTTTGGAAGATGGGATCCTGTCTGCGTGCTCCCCGTTCTGTCTGTGGTCCTGGTCTTAGAACCCTTCTGTAATTCTCGACTAATTCCCTCATCTCCTTTTTACTACAGGTTCATGAAATTACTTGTTCCCGTCTTCAGTGTCTAATCTTCCATCTTCTACAGAACTGCCAGATCTGTCCACTGTTCTCATGAACGAGAAGCAGCAGCTCGGTCCTAGCTTGTGTTTCTAAGGTAACAACAGGTGTTTTGCTTATGAATCAATTCTTGGAGCGCTGGCTGTTGACTGACCCCAAATAGAGGTTGCTTCTTCCACTTTGTGTCCTGAGATGGCTTTAGCCTTGATCATTGGGGACAGTGACATCAGGCCTCCTCTACCACTTCAGCGGGCATCTGCCAACACTGTCCACGGGCTTCCTTGGGGCTGGTGAGTGCATCTGAAAGCCTGTCCAGGCCTGGAGCAGCTGTGATTCCAGACTTCTTGTCCTTCCCATGTGCCTTGGCAGAGCTCGCATTGGCTGGGATACGGGGATGGAGGTCACCCCTGGACCCTGACCTTGACTTTGAGAGTGTCACCATCAAATTCCCCAAGGCAGGACCCTGACCCCTGCTGGAGCTCCGCTGTTCCTGTTTGAAGGGTTTAGACCCAGGGAAGATGAGTCCTTGACCTCTGGTCAGCGTGGTGGGGACTCTGGTGGGAGACTTGGCCCCAGCCAAATCTATGTCCCTGATGACTCTTGTTTGCATAGCAGGGTGATGATCTGAACTAAGCTCCAGGCAGGCCTCCACTTGCAGGCACTCATATAAGTAGGTCCCCGAGGTGCTATTTAGACCCCACTCAGAAGAGTGGGCACCCAAATACTGCTGTCTTGTGAAAGGGGAGGCAGCTAGGGTGGGCCTTGAGGGGACAGAGCCAGGGGCTCCCCTGGGGAGAGCCACATACCTTGAGTGCTTGAGGGATAGAATTTCGGCCCTGTAGTTGACGTTTTCTTATGTCAGTTTCAGGGCAGCAAGGCAAGGCCTGTGTGAGGCTGGGCCAGACATGCATGGGTCCCATGGACACCCGTGGGATGGGGCTCCAGGCTCACCTTTATGAGTGGGGTTCCTGAAGCCAGGACCAGCCAGAGCTCAGAGCAGGACAGGGCCAGCGTGTGTTCTGCTCTTTGCCCTGGATGGTCTGAGTCTCAGAGCCACATCCCAGCCACCCTTGGCACCTGAAGGGCTTTATCGTTGCTCTGGGCTAACTTCACGTTCCCGGCAGTTACTTTCCATGCTCTCTGTTGCATTGCAGGAGTCCTGCTAAACTTTTCTCACTTTTTCAGGTGTGAATTATGTTTCTACCTGTGTCTTGTTGTGTTCATCTGGTTGATGTTGTGAGAGTGTGTGTGTGTGTGTGACTTGTTAAGTCTACAGTCCAGTGGTTTGTAGTATATTCATGGTTATATACAACCATGCACAGTACATTTTAGAACATTTCATGACTCCTGAGAGAAATCCCAAACCCTTTAGCCATCATTCACAATATCCTCCCATCCCCCCACCAAACAACACATAATCTACTTTCTGTCTGTGTTAATTTATTTGCCTTTTTTGGACATTTCTTTGGGGATTGGCTTCTTTCACTTCAAATGATGCTATAGCATCCGTTAGTCTGTCTTTCCTTTTTGTGCTCAAATGATATTCCACCATACGGATAGACCATGTTGTGTCCATCCATCATGAGTTGATGCACTTTTGGCTTCTTCCCACCCTCTGAGAACTATGAATAATGCCGAAACAAATGTTCATGTGCAAGTTTTTGTGTGGACGTGTGTTTTGGTTTCTCCCGATCGTTTCCCTGCAAGTGGAATTGCTGTGTTGTATGGGGCTTCCCAGGTGGTTCAGTGGTCAAGAACCTGCCTGCCGGTGAAGGAGACACAGGAGACCCAGGTTTGATCCCTGGGTGTGGAAAATGCCGTGGAGGAGGAAATGGCAGCCCACTCCAGTGCTCTTGCCTGGAGAATCCCATGGACAGAGGAGCCTGGAGGGTTACAGTCCACACGGTCCCTCAGAGTTGGACCCAGCTGAGCACAGAGCACAAGGATACACAAGTGGTACTTCTGTATCTAACTGTGGAAACGCTGGACCGTTTTCTGAAGTGACTGCACCATTTACATTCCCTCCCCCTCCCCGGCCGCAGTGCACAGAGGCCCTGATTTCTCCTCATGCTCAGCAACACTGGCGTTCCTTTATAATTCTTTGTATTTTTGTAAGATTGGGTGCCATGGCCCCTCAATTTCTCATCTGATTCTAGTTTTCATCTCCTTTTTTTTTTCCTGGCCAGTCTGGCTGTTAGCTTGTTGTTTTTGCTTGCTGTTTTCAGGAAGCAGTTTTGGTTGCATTGATTTTCCTCCTTTGCTTCTCTAGTCTGTTTCACTCATTTCCAGACTCGCATTGTTTCCTTCCCTCTGCTTTTTTCAGAGCCAGTGTGTCTCTTTCTCCAGTGTCTTACGATGGAAGGTTAGAAAGGTGGGGACCTTTCTTTCTTGACGTGATCACTGACAGCCCCGCACTTGCTCCTGAGCGCGGCCTCAGCTGCACCCTGCAAGTTGTGCTGTGTCGCGTCTTCGTTATCATTTACCCCGAAGAATTTCAAGATGTCCTTTTAATTTCTTCTTCGGCTTATTTAACTCCCACATATTTGCAGCTCTCCCAGTTTTCTTTCTGCTGTTGACGTCCATTCCATCGTGGTCCCCGAATGTAGTGGTATTTCTGTCCAGTTAGGTTCGCAGAGGCTGGCCGAGTGTGTGCTCCTCAGCGTTCCGTGTGCCTTCAGGAGGCGGGTGTCCTGCAGCTGTTGGGCGTGATGTTCTCACACATCTGTTACCATGTTATTTAAATCTTCTGTTTCTCTGTTTCCCCATGGTTGACAGCGGGGGCATTGCAATCTCCAGCTATTGCTGGAGTGTGGAAGTGCCTCTTTCGCTCCTCATTTCTGTCCGTTTTCACTTCCTGAGCTGCATTATCTATTGTCGGGTACACAGATAATTGTATCTCTTCCCGATGGGTTGACCCTTTCCATGTTCTAAAGTGTCACTGTTTATCCCTA